ACTACTTACTACGCTACTACTACTACTACTACTACTACTACTGCTACTACTACTATATACTAACTACTGCTACTACTACTGCTTTCTTACTACTACTACTACTACTGTCTACTCTACTACTGCTACTACTACTACTAATCTATTACTACTACTACTTACTACTACTACTACTGCTACTACTACTGATCTACTACTACTACTACTACTACTAATACTACTACTGCTTTATACTACTCTACTACTACTACTACTACTACTACTGCTACTACTACTACTTACTTCTACTACTACTACTACTACTAGCTACTACTACTACTCTATGCACTACTACTCTACTACTACTGACTTATACTACTCAACTACTCTACTACTACTACTACTACTCTTACTACTACTACTACTGCACTACTACTACTACTACTACTATACTTACTACTACTACTACTCTACTACTACTACTACTATAATCTACTACTCTACTACTACTACTACTACTGCTACTACTACTACTACTATACTGCTACTACTACTACTACTACATCTACTATACTACTACTACTACTACTACTCTGAACTACTAATTACTACTACTACTTACTACTACTACTGCTAACTACTATACTCTACTACTACTACTACTATTACTACTGACTACTACTACTGCTACTACTACTACTACTACTGCTACTACATACTTACTGCTACTACTACTCATACTATATACTACTGCTACTATACTATACTACTACTTGTACTTACTACTACTACTGCTACTACTACTACTACTATTACTGCTATACTTATCTACTACTAACTACTGCTACTACTACTATACTACTGCTACTACTTACTACTACTACTACTACTACTACTACTAACTACTCATACTATAATATCTATACTACTACTACTACTATACTATCTACTACTACTACTACTGCTAACTAACTACTACACTACTAACTGCATACTACTACTACTACTACTACTATACCTACTACTACTATACTACATTACTATACTACTGCTATCTACTACTACTACTATATTGCTACTACTACTACCTATACTAACTACTACTACTACTACTATCTACTACTACTACTACTACTGCTTACTACTACTACTACTACATCAGCTACTACTACTATCTACTACTACTACTACTAATACTACTCTACTACTATAACTACTACTACTACTACTATGCTACTACTACTACTACTACTACTACAATCTACTACTACTACACTACTACTATACTACTACTACTATATTATATACTATACTTACTGTTCTACTACTACTACTACTACTACTACTACTACACGCTAACTGCTACTCAACTACTATACTACTACTACTGCTACTATACTACTCTACTACTATCTACTACTACTACTGCAACTACATACTATTACTACTTACTGCTTACTACTACTACTACTACTACTCGCTACTTACTAACTACTACTGACTACTACTATACTATTATTCTACTACTATCTACTACTACTACTACATATCTACTACTACTATCTGCTACTACTAACTAATACTACTACTAACTACTACATACTACTCACTACTTACTGCTACTACTACTACTACTACTACTACTACTATACTACTTACTACTACTACTACTACTACTACTACTACTCTACTATACTACTACTACTTACTACTATACTACTATACTACTACTACTACTACTCTACTTGCTACTATACTACTACTTACTACTACTACTACTCTACTACTATACTTACATATACTACTACTACACTACTATACATTACTACTATTACTACTACTACTACTATTACAACTTCACTACTACTACTACTACATCTACTATACTACTACTATACTATACTACTACTACTACTATACTATTACTACTACTACTACTACTTTACACTACTACTATGCTATCTACTACACTACTACTATACTACACTACTCTACTATACTACTAACACTACTACTACTATTACTACTACTACTACTGCTATACTACTACTATACTACTACTTACTAGCTACTATCTACTACTATACTTACTACTACTCTATTACTACTACTACTACTATTACTACTATTACTACTCTATACTACTAATATACTATTACTACTAACTACTACTATTATTACTACTACTACTACTATTACTATACTATGCTACTAATACTATTACTACTACTACTACTACTATTATACTTACTTGCAATATTACTACTACTACTACTATATTATTACTACTACTACTACTACTATTACTACTACTATTACTACTACTACCATACTAATATCACTACTACTCTACTACTATTACTACTATACTACTAATCTACTACTATATACACTACTACTTTACTACTATACTACCATTACAACTACTACTACATTACTACTACTACTATTTATCTCACTATACTACTACTCTATATATACTACTACTTCATTTACTACTACTACTATTACTACTACTACTATTACTACCTATTACATACTACTACTATATACTACTACTTTTTACTATCTACTACTACTACTACTTATCTTATCTACTACTACTACTACTACTATTTACTACTACTCCAATACTACTACTTACTACTACTACTACTATACTACTACTACTACATACTAACTACTACTATATCACTACTACTACTATCCTCTACTACTACTCTACTCTACTACTATACTACTACTACTATTACTACTACTACTATTACTACTGCTACTAATATTACTACTACACGCATTCTACTACTACTACTATTACTCTACTACTACCTATTACTACTACTATACTACTATATATTACTACTAATCTATACTACTACTACTATTACTACTACTCATTGCTATCACTACTCTACTATTCCTACTACTACTATTACTACTACTACTTACTACTACTATTACTACTACTACTACTATATACTATATCTAAACTACTACGTCTATTACCTACTACTACTACTACTACTACTTTATACTCTACTCATTGCAACTTCTATTCACCTACTGACTACTCTACTATTACCCTACTATTACTACTATACTACTCTCTCTGCTATTACTACTACTATTACTACTATCTCAACTACTGATCTATTACTACTCTACTACCATTACTACATACTACTGCTCTAGTACTACTACTCTACTATTACTACTCATATTCACACTACTATAGCTACACTACTATACTTACTTCTACCAAACTCTACTGACATTACTACTACTACTACATTACAATACTACTAATTACTCTAACTACTATCTATGTACTACTACTACTATTCCTCATACTTTATTTCACTCTACGAATTTACTACTTACTATACTACTACTATTAACCCAGACTACTACTACTACTACTATTAACACTACTACCACTACTACTATACTACTATTACTACTGACTATTAGCTTATGCACTACACTATACTATCTACTTAAACTACTTATATACTACTACTACATTTACTACTATCTATTACTACTTATACTATTACTCTACTACTATTACTATACTACTACTATTACTCTAGCTACTATACTACAATAACTATTACTACTACTACTATACTACTGCACTACTTTCCCTATTACTACCATTTCCCTATACTTGTAGTACTCTACTATCATCCTAGTCACTACTACTACCTTCCTACCTTATGTTCTACTACTACTAATTCCAACTACGACCATATTATTACTTTACTATCAACACTAAATCTGACAGCTCTGAAATTTACTACATTCTTTTAAATTCAGATTAGACTTCTACTATGTACATACTCTAGGTGATTTAAACTTTGATGACATATACTAAACTATCTGTGAGTCATAACAGGACTACTGCAGCAAGGTACGAGTCTACTGGCACTCCTACTTCCGGACTACTCTGACAGTCCAACACCCTATTATGTCCACACTCTCTGATATGTCCTAGCACTCTTGACATGATCCCTACACTACTAATACATGTCCTTGGCACCTACATGTCTACATCTACTACGTATGTAACTACTCTCTGATATATCCCACAATTACTACAGTCCTAGACACTACATGCATGTCACATACACTAGTCCAACTAACATTCTGATTCAGCACTCATTGACATGTACTGGACTCTTTCTATCCTATATATCTGGTTTCCCCAAAACCTCTCGGTTTGTCCCGACTCTCTGACTGTCCAGCACTCTCTGCATGACCCACACTCTCTATGTTCCAACACTCTTTATATTCCCCACTCTCTACGTCCCACACTCTTTCATTCCGACTCTCTGACTGTCCCCTCTCTTAAAATGTCCCACTCATTGACAGTCCAGCACTCTCTGAATGTACAGCACTCTTGACATGTCTCAAACACTCTCTGACATCTAGTCTCCCAACCACTCTCTGCTGTTCAGCACTCTCTACAGTACGCTCTTTGAATTCCAATCTACATGTCCCACACTCTCTGTAGTCCCAAAACTCTTACATAACCCTTAATGTCCAACACTCTCTGAAAGCCCAACACTCTCTGACATGTTCCAGCACTCTCTGACATGTCCCAACTCTCTCTAGGATGTCCCAGCACTCTCTGACATGTCCCAGTACTCTCTAGGATGTCCCAGCACTCTCTGACATGTCCCAACACTCTCTAGCAGAGCCAAGTAGAGTCAGGCACATAGTGCCAGGTAGAGTCAGGCGCCCAGTGCCAGGTAGAGCCAGGCACCCAGTGCCAGGTAGAGCCAGGCACCCAGTGCCAGGTAGAGCCAGGTAGAGCCAGGCACCCAGTGACAGGTAGAGCCAGGCACCCAGTGCCAGGTAGAGCCAGGCACCCAGTGCCAGGTAACCAGGTATGCCAGGCAGGCACCCAGTATAGCCAGGTAGAGCCAGCAGAGTACGAGAGCCAGGCACCCAGTGCCAGGTATAGCCAGGTACCCAACCCGAGCGATGAAATCCTAACTCACATAAATTTCCCTTTACAGTGAAAATTCAGCGCAGCTGGGCGGTGCTGCTGCCGCTACTGTGGTCATGGACTGCCGTCTCTGCGCCTTCATCACCACCACTGCCAACCAGAGGGGGAACGCTGAAGCCGCCACGAACTCCAAGTGTTTACTTTAATAAAGAATAACTTGCAGTTCTTTAATGTATACGTAATCATACGTGATTGAAATTATAAGAAAATGGTGTGGAAAGTCTTCAAGAAAAATGTGAGTGTTGTTGCATCACCTATTGTGTCGTTTTTTCAACTTTTGTTAGACTTTTAGTGTTTTTCTAATATCTCTTTTTTTTTTATATTCCTTGCTATATGTTTGTTTTAATTGTTTAAATTTTGCTTCATAAAAAATAAACATGCACACGCACGTGCAGGAGGAGATTGGAGCTATGACTCGACCCCTGCAACCACAGTTAGGTGAGTACACGACTCAACTGACATATTTTCGATGCGAGACAAAATCCAATGGGAAGACTAGTCAGAGTAGCGGATTAGGGAGGGGATCAAAAGTGATGATAGCAGTGATATACAACCCACCACTGAACAGCAGGAGGCCAAGATAGGAATACGATGAGAGCACCAGAGTGATGGTGGCCACACTAGTCAAGGTTACCAGAAGGGCCCACATGATCAGGGTAAAGTTGCTCATTATGGGGGATTTCAAACAAAAGGAGATTAACTGGGTGAATCTGGAGCCACATGAGGGACCAGAGCCAAGATGCTGGAGGCGGTACTTGAAACTTCATGTACCAATATGTTAGGGATGCAACCAGAGAGAGAGAGAGAGAGATAGAGAAAGGAGATGAGGAACCAGCAAGGCTGGATCTCATATTCACCTTAAGCTGTTCAGTCATAGAGAATATCACACACGGAAGCCCCTAGGTGTTAGTGATCACATAGTGAAGTTAACAATGGAGAGTGAAGCAGCACGAGAAGGACGAAAGAAACCAAACTTCCAAAAAGGGGACTACACATGTATGAGGCAATTCCTACATGAGGTGCAGTGGGCGAGCGAGCTATGGGGGAAATATAGTAAACAAAACGTTGGAACCAATGACCACAAAGTGCAGGGAGGCAATGGAGAAGTTCTTACCAAGGGGCAGCAGATACACTGGGAAGACTAGAGTGAGCCGATGGTTTGCCAGGAGGTGTGGAGAGGCCAAAGTCAAGTGTGCTAGAGTATGGAAAAAGTGTAGAAGGCAAAGAACCCAGGAAAACAGGGAGCTGAGCCGAAGAACCAGAAATGAATATGCATTGATTAGGTGACAAACCGGTCGCTAATACGAGAATGACATAGCACCAGAAGCCAAATCCGACCCAATGTTGTTATACAGCCATATCATAAAAAAACAACAGTCAAGGATCAGGTAATCAGACTGAGGAAGGAAGAAGGGGAGCTCACAGGGAATGACCAGGAAGTATGTGGAGAGCTCAGCTGGCAATTCAGGGAGGTATTCACAGTAAAGACAGAGAGGCTTTCAGCAAACCGAGGTGGTAGGGTGCTCCGGCAAGTGGTGGGCACACTGAACACAATCGAGGAGAATGTGAAGAAACTTCTAGGGAAACTAAATACCTCGAAGGCGATGAGCCCAGATAATAACTCTCCTTGAGACCTGAGAGGGAGTAGATGCACTGTGTGTGCCACTTGAATAAATCTATCGAAACAGGGCAACTGCCTGAGGTGTGGAAGACAGCAAATGTAGTCCCAATTGTTAAGAAAGGAGAGAGATAGGCTGCACTAAATTACAGACCTGTGTTGCTGACATGTATAGTGTGTAAAGTTGTGGAGATTATCAGGGAAAGAGTGATGGAGCACCTAGAAAGGAATGGACTCATGCATGACAACCAGAAAGGAAGGGAAATCCTGCGCCAAAAATCTATTGGAGTTCTATGTTAAGGTAACAGAAGTAAGTAAAACATAAGAAAGAGAGGGGTATACTGCATCTTCGTGGACTGTAAGAAGGCTTTCGATACAATACCATACAAGAGACTGGTTGAAAAACTAGAGGAGCAAGCAGGAATAGGAAGGAAAGTACTGGAATATGTCAGGGGAATACCTGATAGGAAGGACACAACGTGTGTCAGTACGAGACGAGGTGCCAGAGTGGGTGCATGTGTCGATTGGGGTTCCACAAGAGTTAGTCCTAGATCCAGTGCTCTTCAGTATATATGTGAGTGACATAACGGAAGGGATAGAGTCAGAGGTGTCCCTGTTCGCAGACTGTGTGAAACTAATAAGCAGAATACAAGCGAAGGAGGACCAGGTAAACTTATAAGGAGATCTGGACAGGCTGCAAGCCTGGTAAACTTACAAGGAGATCTGGACAGGCTGCAAGCCTGGTCCAACAAATGGCTCTTAGCAAGTGCAAAGCTATGGAACTTGGGGAAGGGTAAAGGAGAGATCAGAAGCTACAAAACTCACTCAAGGATAAAGATCTTGGGGTGATCATCACACCGAGCACATCTGAAGTGTACATCAACCAAATAACTGCTGCAGGATACGGGCGCCTTATTAAGACACATGTGCAACAATTGGGTATCTTCATTGTTGAAAACTTTTGCCTACACAGTAACCTTTTTTTAGTGAAATTAAGGTGATGTAATCAGTCCATCAACCTTGGAGAGATAGTGTTTGAAGTGGTCAGTCCCTCAGCCTGGAGAAGAGTTCAGCTCCATGGTCTGGAACGATATCGTGTGTATGTGTGTGCTAACTTAATTGTGGTTGAAGGGGTCGATTCATAGCTCCTGGACCCGCTTCTTCACTGGTCGCCACTAGGTCCACCCTCTCCCTGCTACATGAGCTTTATCATACCTCTTCTTAAAGCTATATATGGATCCTGCCTCCACTACGTCACTTTCCAGACTAATCCACTTCCTGACAATTCTGTGACTGAAGAAAAACTTCCTAACATACCTATGACTCATCGGAGTCTTTAACTTCCAACTGTGACCCCTTGATGCTGTGTTCCATCTCTTTAACATCCTGTCTCTCTCTCTCTTATCGATTCCCGTTCCTCCTATCCTCTAGTGTCGTCACGTCGAGTTCTCTTAGCCTCTCCTCGTAGAACATTCCCCTTAGCTCCGGGACTAGTCTCATTACAAACCTTAGCACTTTCTCTAGTCTCCTGAGTGCTTGGTCAGGTGAGGGTTCCGAACTGGAGCTGCATAGTCAAATATGGGCCTGACGTACACGGTGTACAGGGTCCGGAACGACTCCTTACTGAGATGTCGGAATAAGATGTCGCCCATATGCTACAGCAGTTGTTTGGTTGATGTGCGCTTCAAGAGATGTGCTCGGTATTATACACACGCCAAGATCCCTTTCCTTGAGTGTGGTTTGTAGTTTTTTTGCCCCCTAGACTGTACTCTGTATGCGATCTTCTTGGCCCTTTCCCAATCTTCATGACTTTGCACTTGGTGGGGTTAAACCCCAGAGCCAGTTTGCTGGACCTGGTCCGCAGCCTGTCCAGATCCCTTTGCATTTTGCCTGGTCCTCGTCCGAATGAATTCTTTTCATCAGCTTCACATCATCTGCAAACAGGGATATTTCTGAGTCTACTCCTTCCTTCATGTCATTCACATACACCAGAAACAGCACCGGTCCTAGGACTAACTCCTATGGAACCCCGGCCTTCACAGGCGCCCACACAGACACCTCATCACGTACTATTACTCGCTGCTGCCTTCCCGTCAGGTATTCTTTGATCCATTGCAGCGTCGTCCCTGTTATACCTGCCTGATCCTTTAGCTTTTGCATTAATTTCTAGTGTGGAATTGTAATCTACCCGCCCTTCTCTCTCTTGTCTTACTGCTGTCACCCTGTCATGGAACTGGCTGTCGGTTCTAGATGTGTGTGTGTGCGTGTACTCACTTAATTGTGGTTGCAGGGGTCGAGTCATAGCTCCCGGCCCCGCCTCTTCACTGGTCGCTACTAGTTAAAGAAGCTCCCCGGGTGTGTGTGTGTGTGTTTGTGTGTGTGTGTGTGTGTGGTGAGTGTTTTTGTCGCATACGTTAAGTGGACGTGAAGGGAATGTGGGTCTTATCAGTAACATAAGCTATCAGTATACCAGCTATCAGTGTACGATGTTCTAGCTTGCTCCCTCCTTCACCCAACCCCTCCCTCTCATCACCCCTCCTACACCCCTTCCTATACTTAAACTCACAACTACCTCTAAAAATTCCCCTCCTCCATTCCTCGGCTGCTCCACCCCTCCCCCCAACCCTCCAAACACACATTGTGGTGTTTCTCAAGAATCTGTCCTTGGGTCTAGCCTCTCTAACCTCTCCTCTATCCCATCATCTCTCCTTCGTCTCCCCTGAGGTCATATTTTGCTGCAAACACAACAAAATACATCTGAATATGTAGAATATCTGAATGGAAAACAAATAAGTGAAAAACAAAAACGTCAGTGAAACACACACAAAACTGGAATGAGTTGGACGGGGAGGTGGAGATAGCTGAATTGCTACAGAGTTTGTAGAGAAGGTACGAGACTCAGGAGGCCAGACATCACCAATGTCGATCAAGGTATTGTAAAAGCCTGGTCCAGAAGCTGAGTCTCGACCCCTAACAAATACAGCTACGTAAGAACACAAGACAATTACACACACACACATACACACACACACACACACACCAACAAGGGATCACGATTGGAAGATGAAGACTCAGATGAGTCACAGAGATGTTAGGAAGTATTTCTTCAGTCACAGAGTTGTCAGGAAGTGGAATAGCCTGGAAAGGGAGGTGGTGTGGGCATGATCCATATATAGCTTTAAGAAGAGGTATGATAAAGCTCATGGAGTAGGGATGGAGAGAGTGACCTAGTAGCGACCAGTGAAGAGGCGGACCAGGAGCTATGAATCGACCCTTGCAACCACGATTAGGTGAGTACACACACACACACACACACACACACACACTGACAACAGTTTATCATCTGGTGAAATTGGAATCACAGGCGAATTATTTACTTGACTGAGTGGAACCAACACAGTCTCTCCATCACCTGTCATCACTGACAGTCTCTCCACCACCTATCATCACTAACAGTCTCTCCACCACCTGTCATCACTGACAGTCTCTCCATCACCTGTCATTACCGACAGTCTCCCCATCACCTGTCATCGCTGACAGCCTGTCTATCACCTGGTACACACTAATATCATCTGAATAACTTTCACCTGTGATACTCTGGGTCCTACATAACTAAAAGATAACAGACCAAAGCAAAAGTACTCAAAAAAGAAGAAAAAAATGTGAGAGAAAGAAAGTGGATGGTGTAACTTAGATAAGATGACAGCCGACCTCAAGAGCAAAGTGGATGAGTGGCAAAGAAAGTTAAATGTTTACCCCTATAGGAACGTAGCATTGGAAGAATACCAGGAGGGACAAGGAAGGAACCAGATTTCAATAGAGGAAGGTTTGTACGGGTGAGAGAACTTGTGAGTGAACCAGAAAGTGACCAGATTAAGAGAGGGAGAGAGAGAGCCCATGGCTCAAGCTAACAAGCCAAGAGGAGAAAGTAAGAGTGCATGAGAACTGGTTATAGAGACCTGGTTATAGAGACCTGGTTATAGATGTCTGGTTGTAGAGACCTGGTTATACAGACCTTGTTATACAGACCTGGTTATACAGACCTGGTTATACAGACCTGGATATACAGACCTGGTTATACAGACCTGGTTATACAGACCTGGTTATACAGACCTGGTTATACAGACCTGGTAATATAGACCTGCTTATACAGACCTGGTTATACAGACCTGGTTATACAGACCTGGTTATACAGACCTATTATAGACACCTGGTTATAGATACCTAGTTACAGACACCTAGTTACAGATACCTAGTTACAGAGACCTGGTTATAGATACCTAGTTACAGACACCTGGTTATAGACACCTGGTTAACGTAGCAACAATCATAATTTCACTCTGAACAATATGCCCTCATTTTGAGTGGCAAAATCAAAATTTGAATATCCCCTGACTCAAGGTGGCGTATACAGTTTAATCCTGATTAATATTTTGTAATCAATTCGGGTAGTGAAACTGAATTCTGACGCTCTGCTCTTCTGTTTCACCCTCACGCTGACACTGATGGGCTGACGCTGCTGACAGAAGCCGCCAGCGACCTCCAGGATGGTCCTGGTAAACCGTCAGCCCCCGGAGGAGCTGACAGAACCGCCAGTCATGCCACGGTACACACACAACAGGATTAAGACGTCTAAGGTGAGTGTGGATCAGGTGTGTGTGGACCAGGTGTGTGTTTGGATCAGGTGTGTGTGTTTGTGGATCAGATGTGTGTGTGGACCAGGTGTGTGTGTGTGGACCAGGTGTGTGTGTGTGGACCAGGTGTGTGTGTGTACCAGGTGTGTGTGTGGACCAGGTGTGTATGGACCAGATATGTGTGGACCAGGTGTGTGTTTGGATCAGGTGTGTGTGTGTGGATCAGGTGTGTGTGGACAAGGTGTGTGGAGCAGGTGTGTGTGAACCTGGTGTGTGTGGACTAGGTGAGTGTGTGTGGACCAGGTGTGTGTGTGGACCAGGTGTGTGTGTGGACCAGGTGTGTGTGTGGAACAGGTGTGTATGGACCAGATATGTGTGGACAATGTGTTGTGTTTGGATCAGGTGTGTGTGTGTGGACAGGTGTGTGTGGACAAGGATGTGTAGTAGTGGACCAGGGTGTGGTGTGTGTGGGCCAGTGTGTGTGTGGACCATATGTGTGTGGAGCAGGTGTGTGTGAACCTGGTGTGTGTGGACTAGGTGAGTGTGTGTGGACCAGGTGTATGTGTGTGGACCAGGTGTGGTGTGGACCAGGTGTGTGTGTGTGGTGTGTGTGTGGACCAGGTGTATGTGTGTGGACCAGGTGTGAGTGTGGACCAGGTGTGTGTGGACCAGGTGTATGTGGACCAGGTGTATGTTTGGATCAGGTGTGTGTGTGTGGACTAGGTGTGTGTGGAGCAGGTGAGCGTGAACCAGGTGAGAGTGAACCAGGAGTGTGTGAACCAGATGTGTGTGGAACAGGTGTCTTTGAACCAGATGTGTGTTGACTAGGTGAGAGTGGACCAGGTGTGTGTGGACTAAGTGAGTGTGGACCAGGTGAGTGCGAACCAGGTGAGTGTGAGCCAGGTATGTGTGAACCACGTGTAAGTGAACCAAGTGTGTGTGTGAACCAGGTGTGTGTGAACCAGGTGTGTGTGTGAACTAGGTGAGTGTGGACCAGGTGAGTGTGAACCAGGTGAGTGTGGCCCAGGTGTGTGTGAATCAGATATGTGTGAACCAGGTGAGTGTGAACCGAGTGTGTGTGAACCAGGTGTGTGTACTAAGTGTGGAACAGGTGTGTGTGGACTAGGTATGTGTGCACCAGGTGTGTTAGGACTAGGTGAGTGTGGACCAGGTGTGTATTGATTAGGTGAGTGTGGAACAGGACTGTGAGGACTAGGTATGTGTGGAGCAGCTGTGTGTAGACCAGGTGAGTATGAACCAAATGAGTGAGTGTGAACCAGGTGAGTGTGCACCCAGTGAGTGTGAACCAGGTGAGTGTGCACCCAGTGAGTGTGAACCAAGTGAGTGTGAACCAGGTGAGTGTGAACCAAGTGAGTGTGAACCAAGTGAGTGTGCACCAAGTGAGTGTGAACCAGGTGAGTGTGCACCCAGTGAGTGTGAACCAGGTGAGTGTGAACCAGGTGAGTGTGCACCCAGTGAGTGTGAACCAAGTGAGTGTGAACCAGGTGAGTGTGAACCAAGTGAGTGTGAACCAGGTGAGTGTGCACCCAGTGAGTGTGAACCAGGTGAGTGTGCACCCAGTGAGTGTGAACCAAGTGAGTGTGAACCAGGTGAGTGTGAACCAAGTGAGTGTGAACCAGGTGAGTGTGCACCAAGTGAGTGTGAACCAAGTGAGTGTGCACCAAGTGAGTGTGAACCAGGTGAGTGTGCACCAAGTGAGTGTGAACCAAGTGAGTGTGCACCAAGTGAGTGTGAACCAAGTGAGTGTGAACCAGGTGAGTGTGAACCAAGTGAGTGTGAACCAGGTGAGTGTGCACCAACTAAGTGTGCACCAAGTGAGTGTGCACCAAGCGAGTGTGCGCCAAGTAAGTGTGCACCAAGTAAGTGTGCACCAATTGAGTGTGAACCAAGTGAGTGTGCACCAAGTAAGTGTGCACCAAATAAGTGTGCACCAAGTGAGTGTGCACCAAGTGTGCACCAAGTGAGTGTGCACCAAGTAAGTGTGCACCAAGTGAGTGTGCACCAAGTAAGTGTGCACCAAGTAAGTGTGCACCAAGCGAGTGTGCACCAACTTAGTGTGCATCAAGTGAGTGTGCACCAAGCGAGTGTGCACCAACTTAGTGTGCACCAAGTAAGTGTGCACCAAGTGAGTGTGCACCAATGAGTGTGCAATAAGTAAGTGTGGATCAAGTAACAAATACAGAAACACGAGAAAGAAACAGGTACAGGATGAGTTACTTGGTGACACACAATAGTTCAGGTAACAGATACTTGGTGACACACAATATTTCAGGTAACAGATACTTGGTGACACACAATAGTTCAGGTAACAGATACTTGGTGACACACAATATTTCAGGTAACAGATACTTGGTGACACACAATAGTTCAGGTAACAGATACTTGCTGACACACACTAGTTCAGGTAACAGATACTTGCTGACACACAATAGTTCAGGTAACAGATACTTGGTGACACACAATAGTTCAGGTAACAGATACTTGCTGACACACAATAGTTCAGGTAATCAGATACTGCTGACACACAATAGTTCATGAGTAACAGATACTTGCTGACACACAATAGTTCAGGTAAAGATACTTGTGACACATAACCAATAGTTCAGGTAACAGATACTTGGTGACACACACAGTTCAGGTAACAGATATTGCTGACAACACACTAGTTCAGGTAACAGATACTTGCTGACACACAATAGTCAGGTACAGATACTTGCTGACACACAATAAGTTATCAGGTAACAGATACTATGGTGACACATAATAGTTCAGGTAACAGATACTTGTGACACACACTAGTTCAGGTAACAGATACTTGGTGACACACAATAGTTCAGGTAACAGATACTTGCTGACACACAATAGTTCAGGTAACAGATACAGCAACAATAACCGCGATCTTCTTCCCCTTCACAGTACACCGTACTCAATTTTATCCCCAAGAACCTCTTCGAACAGTTCCGACGGATAGCTAACTTCTACTTTCTTTGCATCGCTGTTATACAGGTGAGCCTTGATCATTATTAATTCATGATCATTATTAATCCATGATCATTATTAATCCTTTGAACACAGATGAACATCTTGAGCGTTTAGTATAACAGAAAACGACGTGTTCTTGTTATGTTCATGGGGGTAATGTCGTTTTCAGTTGTTCATCGACAGTCCTGTGTCACCTATGACGAGCATTCTGCCACTGCTGTTTGTTGTGGCCGTGACGGCGGTGAAACAAGGTTACGAGGACTGGCGCAGACACCGCGAGGACAACAAGGTCAACAACGCTCCCTCTAGAGTACTCCGGGAGGGAGTAGTGAAGGTTAGTACTATGGCATGAATACTGTAGGAGAGCGTAATATGAGTGTTATGGTAGAAATCCTGTGGCAGGACGCAGTAAAGGCGAGTACTATGGTAGAAATCTGTGGGAGGACGCAGTAAAGGTAAGTACTCTGGCTGGTATAAGGTGCGGTCTCAGGCGTCATTAACGACTCTCAGAGTATCATATTCACATATCTTTTTTCGTCTTGTCGGTGTTTTAAATAATTTCTCTCCGGCTACAAATCTCCCAAGTTTTAGTTCTAGAAAGGCTGGAGCCAAAAAATGGAAAATTGTTTGTAATTTTTAATGAAATCGAATCTCCAGCACTGATGCCCTGAATAACTACAGGGTTTAGTGTTCCACACAACTGTAGCAATAACTAAGGAAGTGTGGTCATTGTGGATACTATGCTAAAGAGGACGTAATTACTATGCCTGGCAGATTATATCACTGAGCAAAGAAGATTCCTTACCAATATGCTGTAGCAACAAAAGCGTGTCAGATTAATTAACACGAAAGACGACTATTATTTTGCAGCTGAAGAACAAGGTAGTGTGACGAAATGTGTTAATAATAGTCTGTTGTCAATAGGACTTACGCACGAGGGACATTGTAGTTGGGGACATCGTAGAGATAGCGTCCAACGAGCAGTTCCCGTGTGACCTCTTACTCCTTATGTCGTCAGACTCTGAAGGCAAGTGCAGCGTCACCACAGCCAACCTCGACGGAGAAACTAACCTTAAGGTACGTGGTCACACAGTTGAAGACTTTCGGGTTAACTAACCGATTTGTATTTCACGAAGTGTAACTAGTATATTGAGCTCAAATAGTGGTGGAAGGTGTATTCTGGTAACTGTGACCCCGCCTTTGTCCAGTCCTGCTGGTGGTAAATGTAACATCCTGACTTTGTGGGAAACCTGTAACACGCCAACATGAACTCTCTTCTCCACTATTTCTCGCTCACACTGCCATCAACCACACACACACACACACACACACACACACACACACACACACACACACACACACACACACACACATGTACGAGTACTCTTTATTTCTAGACACCTTCTACTAGACCCTCGTAAAGCTGTCACCTGGAGGAAGTCACAGGTGTGTTTTACTTATTCGATTTGCTGTGCAAATTGTTTGAAACGTTCATTGTCATCAAGGTGCCACGTTACCTACGATCTTTTACAATTTCTGGTATAGAACACTTGCGTTTGTTGTCTGTAACTGATGCTGTATTATGAGAAGCTTACATGTTATAGAAATGGTCAAGGCATAGTTCACGAGACACATTTGACTCCTTTGGACTCCTAAAGGACCTCCCGAGCATGGGCCAACAGGCCTCCTGCAGTGATCCTCTTTTTTTATGTTCTTATGTTCTTATTAACGAGTATCAGTGAAGCAATATCCGGTACATTAAGTGTAACACATGGTTATCTGTTTTTTAACTGTTTAGAGCCTAATTCTTAATGATAAAAGTTTTTATGGTGGCAAGTGACCTGTCGTTATGAATAATGTCCAGACCATTTGTTGTAAAAGCCAATCATATTTTCCCTGTATTTACTATATTCTTGAATATTGTGAGGATGTTACAAATTTGCAACATTAAATGTCCTTGAGGAAGGTTATGTTTGTCTTACAATATCTGTATTAATATCTGCTTAACTCTTGCAGACTTCAGCCCCTTCCTCCTTCCCCCTCTCCCCCATATTTATAGATTAGTTGGCATTTTGCTGCTGGTGGGGAAGGATGCTAAGCAGTTGCTTTGTCTTTATTATCAAAGCCTCACTTGCAGATAACTTTTTACACAGCTTATTATTGTTGCTTATTATATATTATATCCGCAACCTATTTCCAAGGCTCTCATTCTGAGAGCCTTGGTGGTCTGTATACCATGTCCTATGAGTGGATTTAGTCCCTAGCTGTTTAAGTTCACTGCTGAAGTTAAATTCAGCCGACTATGCCCAATTTAGAATATAGCTTTTGGGAGCAAGGGTGGCCACAGTTGTTCAGGGAATCCATATCATTCCACACACACACACACACACACACACACACACACATCACAACACAAACATACATCAACATCAACAACAACACAAACATCACTAACACAAACACACAAAATCAATATATATATATATATATATATATATATATATATATATATATATATATATATATATATATATATATATATATGCAAAGACTTGGTTTATACATTGCCTTGTATCAGTGTGTACTCACAAGAAGAGGCTGCTTCCTCATACCTAAAGAACTTTGTCTTGTTGGTAGTTACAGACTATAATGTAAAACATACTTTTACACCAGATGGACTCTGCACACATGCACTTGCACTCTGTGAATTTGGGGTCGTCGAGCAATTAGTTTCATACCTTTATACCTGTGAAGGTCTTCAGAGTTTTGTGTGATGTATCCTTTATATGATTAGCCCGATGTTAGACTTAGAATGATTATCATTTGCTGGTTCAACAACTTACAACTGATACGCGGACTGATATGCTACTAATGAGGTATTAATTCGATTACATCAATATTGTGACTGCTGTTCCCTCTTGAAGACACTAAATATTCTTTGTACATGGGGTTATTAGTCAAGCCTGGTCATGGACCTGGCCGCGGGGGCGTTGACCCCCCGGAACACCCTCCAGATATACTCCAGGTATATTGCACTTTTTGTACAAGGGGTCACTATTCAGTAAAGACAGGTGTATATTCCACTTCTTGCTTTAGCAAATCCCGAGACTGGTCAACAAAAGCGATATTTACGTTTGTTATTAACTTACAGTAGACTCTGTTTTAGAAAAAGAGATAAGCATGTCTCATAAGAAATAAATCTGGATACTGTGACAGAGCACAAGAGTCACATATGGCTCCAGAGTTATACCTTACAAAGGTCTAACAAACGAGACGTGTGTAAAGTGCTAAGGATGATTTTGTCACAGTAAGTGCATTGCTAATGAACCTATCAGACTTTTCAGGGTTTTACAATGTCCATATGTATATCATTATGACTTAATGTGTTTTAACAGTTAAGAAAATATTTATTAATTAGTTTCTGAGGCAAGATATGCACAACAGATAGCTTCAACAGAAACATGTGTTCGTTGGTATTGCAATTTCAGAATATGTTTTGAAAGGAAATATATTTTGATCTAATACCGTGTGCTTAATATTTCTCAAAACCTGTCAACAGTGATCCTGGAACTCCTTTCTCAACTTCCCTTCTCTCTCACACTCTACCTACCCAGTTTCCCTTTCTTCTCTCTAGCTTTTCCTTCTTTGCATTTTTTCATCTCTCCTTCTCCTTCTCTCATAGTCTTAACCTGTTTCTTCCATGGTGTTATTAGACTACACCATGCTTTGTGGTTGAGACTACACCAGGCTTTGTGATTGAGACTACACCAGGCTTTGTGATTGAGACTACACAAGGCTTTGTGGTTGAAACTACACCAGGCTTTGTGGTTGAGACTACACCAGGCTTTGTGGTTGAAACTACACCAGGCTTTGTGGTTGAGACTACACCAGGCTTTGTGGTTGAGACTACACCAGGCTTTGTGGTTGAGACTACACCAGACCTTGTGGTTGAGACTACACCAGGCTTTGTGGTTGAGACTACACCAGGCTTTGTGGTTGAGACTAAACCAGACTTTGTGGTTGAGACTACACCAGGCTTTGTGGTTGAGACTACACCAGGCTTTGTGGTTGAGACTACACCAGGCTTTGTGGTTGAGACTACACCAGGCTTTGTGGTTGAGACTACACCAGGCTTTGTGGTTGAGACTAAACCAGGCTTTGTGGTTGAGACTACACCAGGCTTTGTGGTTGAGACTACGCCAGGCTTTGTGGTTGAGACTACACCAGGCTTTGTGGTTGAGACTACACCAGGCTTTGCGGTTGAGACTACACCAGACCTTGTGGTTGAGACTACACCAGGCTTTGTGGTTGAGACTACACCAGGCTTTGTGGTTGAGACTACACCAGGCTTTGTGGTTGAGACTACACCAGGCTTTGTGGTTGAGACTACACTAGGCTTTGTGGTTGAGACTACACCAGGCTTTGTGGTTGAGACTACACCAGGCTTTGTGGTTGAGACTACACCAGGCTTTGTGGTTGAGACTACACCAGACCTTGTGGTTGAGAGTACACCAGACCTTGTGGTTGAGACTACCCCAGACCTTGTGGTTGAGACTACACTAGACCTTGTCGTCAAGACTACACCAGACCTTGTCGTCAAGACTACACCAGACCTTTTGGTTGAGACTACGCCAGACCTTGTGGTTGAGGCTACCCCAGACCTTATGGTTGAGACTATGCCAGACCTTGTGGTTGAGACTACACCAGACCTTGTGGTTGAGACTACCCCAGACCTTGTGGTTGAGACTACACCAGACCTTGTGGTTGAGACTACACCAGACCTTGCGGTTGAGACTACACCAGACCTTGTGGTTGAGACTACACCAGACCTTGTGGTTGAGACTACCCCAGACCTTGTGGTTGAGACTACCCCAGACCTTGTGGTTAATACTACCCCAGACCTTGTGGTTTAGACCACACCAGACCTTGTCGTCAAGACTACACCAGACCTTGTCGTCAAGACTACACCAGACCTTGTCTTCAAGACTACACCAGACCTTGTCTTCAAGACTACACCAGACCTTGTCTTCAAGACTACACCAGACCTTGTCTTCAAGACTACACCAGACCTTGTCTTCAAGACTACACCAGACCTTGTCTTCAAGACTACACCAGACTTGTCTTCAAGACTACACCAGACCTTGTCTTCAAGACTACACCAGACCTTGTCTTCAAGACTACACCAGACCTTGTCTTCAAGACTACACCAGACCTTGTCTTCAAGACTACACCAGACCTTGTCTTCAGACTACACCAGACCTTGTCTTCAAGACTACACCAGACCTTGTCGTCAAGACTACACCAGACCTTGTCTTCAAGACTACACCAGACCTTGTCGTCAAGACCACACCAGACCTTGTCGTCAAGAGTACACTAGGCCATGACATCAAGATTACGTCATATCTAGTCATCAAGGCGTAGTCGCCAGGACCTTGCCTCAACTGGTCGTTTAAACAAAGCAAAATCTGCTCATTATGACCACACCAGCCATGATCGTCGTGACCACACCAGCCATGATCGTCGTGACCACACCAGCCTTGATCGTCGTGACCACACCAGCCTTGATCGTCGTGACCACACCAGCCTTGATCGTCGTGACCACACCAGCCTTGATCGTCGTGACCACACCAGCCTTGATCGTCGTGACCACACCAGCCTTGATCGTCGTGACCACACCAGCCTTGATCGTCGTGACCACACCAGCCTTGATCGTCGTGACCACACCAGCCTTGATCGTCGTGACCACACCAGCCTTGATCGTCGTGACCACACCAGCCTTGATCGTCGTGACCACACCAGCCTTGATCGTCATGACCACACCAGCCATGATCGTCGTGACCACACCAGCCATGATCGTCGTCACCACACCCGACCTGTTCATTAATCCAGCATTAGATCTGGTCGTTAAGACTATACTTGACCCATTCATCAAGACGACAGAAGATTTATCTCCCTCTCGCATCATCTTTACCATCCCACACTAATTTCTCGTCAACACTATCCTCTAATCATCTAATCCTTCTAACAGGGCTAACTTTATTTTCTTTTGCTCATCCTGTACACTAATTCCTCTCCCATTACACACCCTAGTCAAGGACTTGGCCTCGGGGGCGTTGACCCCCGGAATACCCTCCTGGTAGACTTCGGGTAGGTTGTTCCTCTTTCCATGTCCCCAATAATTCTTAATAAATCACATATTCTAATTCTACACTTCATGAAATTCCTTGACATAAAAGATTTCCTCCACAGACTTTTTTCTGCCCCAGTGAGACTTGCTACCTGACCACTATTGATGACCTGTGGAAGCTCAGAGCTGTCATAGAGTGTCAGGTCAGTCTCAGGTCACGTCTGTTTTTTTTTGTCATGTCAGTCTCAGATCACGTCTATTTCTTGTCATGTCAGTCCCAGGCTAATCTGTTCCTTGTCATGTTAATCCCAGACTATGTCTGTTCCTTGTCATGTTAATCCCAGGCTATGTCAGTTCCTTGTCATGTTAATCCCAGGCTATGTCTGTTCCTTGTCATGTCAGTCCCAGACTATGTCTGTTCCTTGTCATGTTAATCCCAGACTATGTCTGTTCCTTGTCATGTTAATCCCAGGCTATGTCTGTTCCTTGTCATGTCAGTCCCAGGTCACGTCTGTTGTCATGTCAGTCACAGGACTTACAAGACCGGATTATAAAGCAGGCCTAGGAAACACAGCTGTTATGTAATAAATATAATAACTTACAATCACTGTGTACAGCCGTTATTGCATGACAATCACAAGTCAGATTTTTCAGTACTGGACACTGTTATTGTCAACAGTAGGAATATATGACTGCAACAAAGGTTACATCAATTGATTTGTAATTATCAACAGTAGGAATATATGACTGCAACAAAGGTTACATCAATTGATTTGTAATTGTCAACAGTAGATTATGACTGCCAACAAAGGTTACATCTATAGATTTGTAATTGTCAACAGTAGGAATATACGACTGCAACAAAGGTTACATCAATTGATTTGTAATTGTCAACAGTAGGAATATACGACTGCAACAAAGGTTACATCTATAGATTTGTAATTGTCAACAGTAGGAATATACGACTGCAACAAAGGTTACATCAATTGATTTGTAATTGTCAAACAGTGGAATATATGACTGCACACAAAGGTTAATCAATTGATTTGTAATTGTCAACAGTAGGAATATATGACTGCAACAAAGGTTACATCAATTGATTTGTAATTGTCAACAGTAGGAATATATGACTGCAACAAAGGTTACATCTATAGATTTGTAATTGTCAACAGTAGGAATATACGACTGCAACAAAGGTTACATCAATTGATTTGTAATTGTCAACAGTAGGAATATACGACTGCAACAAAGGTTACATCAATTGATTTGTAATTGTCAACAGTAGGAATATATGACTGCAACAAAGGTTACATCAATTGATTTGTAATTGTCAACAGTAGGAATATATGACTGCAACAAAGGTTACATCAATGATTTGTAATTGTCAACAGTAGGAATATATGACTGCAACAAAGGTTACATCTATAGATTTGTAATTGTCAACAGTAGGAATATACGACTGCAACAAAGGTTACATCAATTGATTTGTTATTGTCAACAGTAGGAATATATGACTGCAACAAAGGTTACATCAATTGATTTGTAATTGTCAACAGTAGGAATATATGACTGCAACAAAGGTTACATCTATAGATTTGTAATTGTCAACAGTAGGAATATACGACTGCAACAAAGGTTACATCAATTGATTTGTTATTGTCAACAGTAGGAACATATGACTGCAACAAAGGTTACATCAATTGATTTGTAATTGTCAACAGTTAGGAATATATGACTGCAACAAAGGTTACATCAATTGATTTGTAATTGTCAACAGTAGGAATATATGACTGCAACAAAGGTTACATCAATTGATTTGTAATTGTCAACAGTAGGAATATACGACTGCAACTAAGGTTACATCAATTGATTTGTAATTGTCAACAGTAGGAATATATGACTGCAACAAAGGTTACATCAATTGATTTGTAATTGTCAACAGTAGGAATATATGACTGCCACAAAGGTTACATCAATTGATTTGTAATTGTCAACAGTAGGAATATACGACTGCAACAAAGGTTACATCAATTGATTTGTAATTGTCAACAGTAGGAATATACGACTGCAACAAAGGTTGCATCAATTGATTTGTAATTGTCAACAGTAGGAATATATGACTGCAACAAAAGTTACATCAATTGATTTGTAATTGTCAACAGTAGGAATATATGACCGCAACAAAGGTTACATCAATTGATTTGTAATTGTCAACAGTAGGAATATATGACTGCCACAAAGGTTACATCAATTGATTTGTAATTGTCAACAGTAGGAATATATGACTGCAACAAAGGTTACATCAATTGATTTGTAATTGTCAACAGTAGGAATATATGACTGCAACAAAGGTTACATCAATTGATTTGTAATTGTCAACAGTAGGAATATATGACTGCAACAAAGGTTACATCAATTGATTTGTAATTGTCAACAGTAGGAATATACGACTGCAACAAAGGTTACATCAATTGATTTGTAATTGTCAACAGTAGGAATATACGACTGCAACAAAGGTTACATCAATTGATTTGTAATTGTCAACAGTAGGAATAATGACTGCAACAAAGGTTACATCAATTGATTTGTAATTGTCAACAGTAGGAATATACGACTGCAACAAAGGTTACATCAATTGATTTGTGATTGTCAACAGTAGGAATATACGACTGCAACAAAGGTTACATCAATTGATTTGTAATTGTCAACAGTAGGAATATATGACTGCAACAAAGGTTACATCAATTGATTTGTGATTGTCAACAGTAGGAATATACGACTGCAACAAAGGTTACATCAATTGATTTGTAATTGTCAACAGTAGGAATATACGACTGCAACAAAGGTTACATCAATTGATTTGTAATTGTCAACAGTAGGAATATACGACTGCAACAAAGGTTACATCAATTGATTTGTATTTGTCAACAGTAGGAATATACGACTGCAACAAGGTTACATCAATTGATTTGTAATTGTCAACAGTAGGAATATACGACTGCAACAAAGGTTACATCAATTGATTTGTAATTGTCAACAGTAGGAATATATGACTGCAACAAAGGTTACATCAATTGATTTGTAATTGTCAACAGTAGGAATATACGACTGCAACAAAGGTTACATCAATTGATTTGTG